AGGGTGAGTGTTGTCAATATTATGTAACTCACGTATGTATGTCACGAGTCATTGTTTGGCCGTGGTCACACATGTAGACTAGGGGTAGTTGGGGATTTTCCAGTTTATCTTCTTATCTCTCTATTCCTCCCGTGTATATTTGTAACCCACGAGACTTGGCTCTCGCACATATCAATAAATACATCACGGGCTCCTCTGTATAGGAGTTGAGACTCTTCATGATACTTTGAAAATCACATCGCTACATAAGAATGGTACTTCTGGTTCTACAATACTTGGTACAATACTTTGAAAATCTACCATCTCCTTGTTCTACAATACTTGGTACTTCAACCCTCTCTTATCGTCACTGGCATCTATGGAGATCGTTGAGCCTTTACATGCTTCTCTATTAACTAACATATTTGAAAGAATTATCATCACATGCTTTCGTACCCACATCTTTATATTCCTCGCACCGTGCACCTATGAGCATACAAGAAGGATGCATGGGTTACCAAGTCATACAAACAAGTCCTGAAATAAACATTTTCCGTTAAAAACTAGATATTACATCTTTCTTGTGGTGTGATTGTAGTAAGTAGCTATGCTTACCATATCGTGTGATTCCGACAAAATGACTTCCATGGCGGCATCTGTCACAGATAGAGAAACACATTTATTTGCCATCATGGCAACAATACTCTTCATTTGAATGTTCACAATTTCCCTCAATTTGTTGTGTGAAAGCGGCTCAAATATCGCAATCTCGCTTAATCCGTTGATAAGATCAGGCTTGAAGCATTTCTCAATCTGCATGAATAAGTATTATATGACGATCAATCACTAAGGACTTTACAAGGGACAGTATGGGTCTGATTTACATACCTCTTTCATGAGAAGGTCACGTGCATTTTCCATCGCCACTTCAGCTGATAGGTGCTCTGATCCTAGATTTGAGCTTATAATAATGATTGTATTCTTGAAATCTACATCTCGTCCTTTGCCATCAACCAACATACCATCATTGAGGAGTTGAACAAAAACCTTGAGTATTGAGGGGTTTGCCTTATCCACCTCGTCAAAAAGGATAACACTATATGGCCGGCGCCTGACAATCTCAGTGAGTTGTCCCTCTTCTTCATAGCTTTAGGAAGTTAAATTAAAAGGTGAGACATGATGATGAAGCATAAAAAAGAATACACTTGCAACAAGTTTACAAGTCAAACCTTCGAGGTCCTCCAATGAGACGCGACAAAGATCCACTCTCAGCATATTCAGACATGTCAAAATGAACTAACATTTTCTCATTACTAAATAGCTTCTCGGCAAGAGCTTTAGCAAGTTCTGTCTTTCCAACACCAATCGAGCCCAAAAAGAGGAAAGAACATATCGGTTGACCTGCTTTATCAATGCCGACCCTAGAACGTAGCACTGCTTGTGCAACCAAACTAAGTGCTTCATTCTGTCCAACTACTCGCTCATGAAGTCTATCTATTAGACGAGTCAGTTTTTCCTCCTCTTGATCAAGTGTAGTGATAGGAATTCCAGTCCACCGGCTCACAATCTTCATACAAGATTAGAAAATGGTAACTAAGAGCATAATAATGAAATAGTAGAAGCTACTGAGACATGAGATGAATGACCTGTGTGACATGGCCTGGACCAACCAGTATCTCCCCCGGTGCATTTATTTCTCTTTGTTTGCTTACACGCAACTTTACCGCAGTGCACGCCTCGTCCATGAGATCAATTGCTTTATCAGGAAATATGCGACCTGGAACAAAAAAGTTCACAATTTTCTTCAAGATGCACCAATTTAAAAGAGTAGACCAAATAATTTCTCGACGATTTCACAAACGTACCGGTAATATAACGGGCAGCAAGCTCTACAGCGGCAACAAGAGCCTCGTCGTCGATTTCCACGCCATGGTGCTCTTGGTACTTCTGCTTCAGCCCCCGCAGGATGGCAATGGTCGTTTGCAAGCTCGGCTCCCCGATTTCAACCTTTTGGAACCGCCGCTCGAACGCCACATCCTGCTCAATATACCTGTAATACTCCTGAGAGGTGGTAGCACCAATGCAGCGGAGGCGACCACGGGTCAACGCCGGCTTGAGGATGTTGGCGGTGTCCGCGGTGCCGCTTCGATCGCCTGCGCCAATGAGCATGTGCATCTCGTCGATGAAGAGGATCAATTTACTGCCTTCGTCCTCGGCCTGCTTGATGGCCTCCTTCAAGCGCTGCTTGAACATGCCGCGCAGGGTGGTCCTGGCGATCATCGCCCCGACACCGAGCACCCCGACGCGCGCTCCAACGAGAAGGTCGGGGACCGTCCCGGCAGCAATGTGTTGGGCTAGGCCCTCGACGATGGCCGTCTTGCCGACTCACGCGGCTCCGACGAGCGCGGCGCAGTTCTTGGTCCGGCGGCAGAGGATGCACACAGGGTTTAGCGATTGATTACTTCACACCCGGAGAAACCGAGAAACAAAATGAACTTTTTTCACGTGCACACAGGGATTTGTTTGCACATATAATTCTCACTAACTTTAAATGCATACTATTTTTTCCCGTGGCAACGCACGGGCATATGTGCTAGTTAGTTCTTATAGGAGGTAGCACCATGTGGTCAAAGTTTCGCTGCTCCAAGGGGAGATTATTCGACCTAACTTTTTCATAACAAACCGAGAAAAAAAACTGCAACCCAAACAAGATTTTTTTGTTTCTCTGGCACGACAACAAATGACCATATCATATTATGGAATCAATTTGTGTCATATTATTCTTGATGTTTTGCCTGATGTGTGAACTATTCCACGAGGGTTGTGAGACCTTTTCTATTTACCATGCACATACTGAGGTCGTAGTTCGTCATATCGTCTCCTTGCCTAAGAATCACATATCAACAGCATGGCTTGGCTTTTCTCAAAATACACGGCATTGCTTGGCTTTTCTCAAAAATACACAGCATTGCCTGACTCTTTAGTAACAAGTGACACTTGTCTTACTAAAAGTTGCTACAATACCTTAATTAGGGAACAAATTGAAAAATAGAGAGCTAAAGTACTCGTCAAACTATCATGAATTATTTGTACGTGTGCTTCCTTGCAAAAAAAGAACCTTTTTGTTCGACACCTTAGGCGTTTTCAAATGCCTTGCAGTATCTGTGGTGCCAAGGGCGGAGCTAACATGTATATCGTCTTTAAACTAACGAAATACTCTTGCCTTGATCCTCACGTTCTAATCCATGATTTGTTCACATCGTGATCAATAGTAGACTGACAAAAGATAAATAGAGATGTGGACTGAAACAAAGTGTTCAACGCTCCTCCTCAGCCTAGGTAACTAATGGGCTTCCTCTTCTTCCCTCCCCGGTCATACACGTAAGGCGGATGATGCTCCTGTATGGTGCACCGTGGCGTTCATCTTCCACCCAGATGCCGCCACTTGGCCCAAAGGGTGTATTGTTGCGCCGGGTCAGCAAGCACGCGCGGAGGTCGGTCTGCAAACTTTAGTTACTTGATCCTGGGAGCAGTGGCTTGTGAAGGACAAACGCTTCCACTTCGCCATGGGCAGCAGATACTTGCCCGATTATGCACCCAAAAAGGATTGAGTTGTTGAGTCAGCTCAAACTGAGGCTTAACTGATTGGTTTAATTTCTATTTTTATTTACAGAAAAAACCGTTAACATGCATTTGATCATTTCCTGTCTACTGAAATATAAATCTAAAGCAAACATAATAAACTATAAACCTGGGTAGATCAGTAACAACCCACATATTTAGTCCAACATGTCAGCTGCCGCTATATATTCATGTTCATCTTCTTTTTTCGTCTTGTTATAGGAGTGACTTCTACAACATATCTTATTTTCAATAAAAAACAACATTATCCCCAGGTGGTTCAACCTCCTTTTCAAAAAAAAAAAAACAATATATCTCCCCTCACGGATCTCCCATCTCCTGCTCATTCAGGACTTGATACTTCAACCCCCTCCTATCATCCCTAGCATCAATGGAGATCGTTGAGCCCTTACACACTTCCCCATTGACCAACATATTTGAAAGAATTGCTGTCACATGCTTCCGCATCCACCTCTTTAAAGGCCTTGCGCCGTACCCCTATAAGCATTCAGGAACGATGGGTTAGGGAGACATATAATTTCTTTATTAGTCAATTCAACTTGCCCACTAGCCTGAGAATGATAATGTGATGCTACTCTATGGTTTACATCATATTTACTCAAAAGAGCCTCCAATAAGTTTTTTTTCATTTTTAAAACTGGATATTAGATCTTTATCTTGTGGTGATTGTGATAAGAAGCTATGCTTCTCGTAAATAAAAAAGAGATAGAAGAAGGTATGCTTACTGTGTCATGTGATTCCGATAAAATTACTTCCAAGGCGGCATCAGTCACACATAAAGAAAATCCCTTATTAGCCATCATCGCAACGATTCTCTTAATTTGGATATTTGCAATCTCCCTAAGTTCGTTGCGTGAAAGCGGTTCAAATATTGCAATTTCACTCAGTCTATTGATAAGACTAGGCTTGAAGCATTTCTCAACCTGCATGAACAAGTATTATATATGATTATCATTCACTGATGGCATTTTTTTGTGAAAAATCATCGATGAGATTACAAGGGAGATAATTTGGGATATACGGACCTCTTTCATGAGAAGATCACGTGCATTTTCCATTGTGCTTTCTCCGGTCAATCCATTTGACAGGTGCTCTGATCCTAGATTTGAAGTCATAATGATGATTGTATTCTTGAAATCTACATTCCATCCTTTTCCATCAATCAACATACCATCATCGAGGAGTTGAGTAAAAACATTGATAATCGAGGAATTTGCCTTATCCACCTCATCAAAAAGGATAACACTATATGGTTGGCGCCTAACTTTCTCTGAGAGTTGTCCCTCTCCTTCATAGCTTTAGTAAGTGAAACCAAGACGTGAGGCATGATGATGAAGTGCCAAAAAGAAACACATACGCAAAAAGCGTACGAGTTATACCTTCGAGATCCTCCAATGAGATGCGACAACGATCCACTATCAGCATACTCGGACATGTCAAAGCGAACTAACATCTTCTCGTTGTTAAATGGCTTCTCGGCAAGTGCTTTGGCAAGCTCTGTCTTTCCAACGCCGGTCGAGCCCAAAAAGAGGAAAGAACATATCGGTTGATCAAATTTATTAACACTGCTTGCGCAACCAAATTAACTGCTTCATTCTGGCCAACAACCCGCTCATGCAATCTATCTATTAAATGGGCCAGCTTTTCCTCGCCTTGATCAAGTGTGGTGACAGGAATTCTAGTCCATCGGCTCACAACCTTCAAACAGTATTAGAAAATGGTAATTAAGAGCATATAATAATGAAATAATAGAAAGTATTCAGAATATGTGATTAGGAATGACCTGCGTGACGTGAGCTGGACCAACGACTAGCTCGCCCGGTGCATTTATTTCTCTTTGTTTGCTGGCGTGCAACTTTACGGTAGTGCATGCCTGGTCCATGAGATCAATTGCTTTATCAGGAAATTTACGACCTGGAAAAAAACAAAATCCACAATTTTCTTCAAGATGCACGTATTTACAAGAGTAATACTAATTCATATCAATTCTTGACGATATGACAAACTTACCAGTAATATAACGGGCAGCGAGCTCTACAGCAGCAACAAGTGCCTCCTCGTCAATTTTCAAGCCATGGTGCTCTTGGTACTTGTGCTTCAGCCCCCGCAGGATGGCAACTGTCGTTCGCATGCTCGGCTCCCCGACCTCAACCTTTTGGAACCGCCGCTCGAGCGCCGCATCCCACTCAACGTACCTGTAATACTCTTGATAGGTGGTAGCACCAATGCAGCGGAGGCGACCACGGGCCAACGCAGGCTTGATGATGTTGGCGGCGTCCGTGGTGCCGCTTTGATCGCCTGCGCCAATGAGCATATGCATCTCGTCTATGAAGAGGATCAATTTGCCCCCTTCATCCTCGGCCTGCTTGATGGCCTCCTTCAAGCGCTGCTCGAACATGCCGCGCAAGTTGGTCCCAGCGATCATCGCCCCGACATCGAGCACCCCGATGCGGGCTCCAACGAGAAGGTCAGGTACCGTCCCGGCAGCGATCCGTTTGGCGAGGCCCTCGACGATGGCGGTCTTGCCGACTCCCGCGGCTCCGACCAGCGCGGCACAGTTCTTGGTCCGGCCGCAGAGGATGCAGATGACGCGGTTGATCTCGTTGTCGCGGCCGATGACCGGATCAACACTGCCGGCGTCCAAGGTCCTCAGTCTGTAGGGTCGCCGAGGCAGCAGATCAGCCGTGGGGTCGACGCTGCAGTACCTCCACGCCGACCAGCACAAAGCAGCGAAAGAAACGATCAAGGCCACGTCGTCCGGCTGCACCTGCACCATGTTTGGCGTGCCGAAGAAGTAGAAGAAGAAGCAGCGCAGCGGAAGAATAATTCTTCTTTTCGATTAGGTCAATGCGCTGCCGATCGATGTATGTCACCGTGCGCACAAACCGAGTAGGCGTACGTGTTGACGCAGAGCTCGACGGCCTATTTCTGGGGATACTTCCGTAGCGATTCAATCGATATATATGCCGCTGGATCGATTCCACACGGAGCGATTTATTGCAACCGGAACGTGTCGCTCCTGTGCTCTTATTTCCTTCTGATTTCGTATTTCGTAGTTGATCACGTATACAGAGTATAGGACCGAACTATATAGCTAACCTATATAGCAATCTAAAGCGCCGTCCAGGCGGCTTGGAACCCTAGCCGCCGCCAGGAGGCCAATCTTCCAGCACCGTCCTCCGGCGGCTCCCCTCCGCCAGCGACGTCGGTCATCGGTGTTGAAGGCAATGCAACTCTCGATATATTGATCGGGTGCACGGTGCACGTATATATGGGTACAAGGGCAGCCCTCAGCCTCATCTATACAAGGAAACTAGAGGCGGGGCCGGTAGGAGATTATCCTAACAAATACATGCACATATATGTTCACCCCCCCCCCCAGAGTCGATACGTCACCAGTGACGTATAGACTAGACCGGAACTCCCCAAATGTAGGCGTGGGTAACCCCTTCATCATGACATCGGCAAACTACTGAGCGGTGGGAACATGAAGAACGCGGGCGCGCCCAAGAGCCACCTGCTCTTGCATGAAGTGAATATCGAGCTCAATGTGCATCCTGCGACGATGATGAACGGGGTTGGCGGAGAGGTAGACCGCAGAGACATTGTCACAGTAGACAATGGTGACCTTTGGGACATCAAGAAGCAACTCCTAGAGAAGCTGTCGGAGCCACGAGCACTCGGCGACGGCATTGGCCACAGCATGATACTCAGCCTCGGCACTGGAGCGGGATACCGTGGGTTGTCGTTTAGACGACCACGATATGAGCGAGGGCTACAGGTAGACGCAAATAGCCTGAAGTCGAGCGGCGTGTGTCCGGGCAGGCAGCCCAATCGGCGTCACTGTAAGCGACCAGGTTAGTCGAGGGCGAGGCCGTCAACGTAAGACCAAGAGCCGTGGTGCCGCGGATGTACCGAAGAATCCGCTTCACCGGGTTCCAGTGAGTGTCGCGAGGGGCGTGCATGTGGAGACACACCTGCTGGACGGCTGCAGGTCCGGCCGAGTGAGTGTCAAGTATTGGAGAGCGCCGACGATGGAGCGGTAGAACGCTGCATCTGGCGCGGGTGAGCCGTCGAGCGCAGAGACCTTGGCCTTCGTGTCGATAGGCGTGGGGACAGGCTTGCAGTTAAGCATGCCTGCCCGCTCTAGAAGGTCCTGTGCATACTGCTGCTAGTGAAGAAAGAACCCATCGGCGCGTCGTACCACCTCAATGCCGAGGAAGTAGTGCAACGAGCCGAGGTCCTTAATGGCGAACTCAGCGCTGAGGCGACCAGTATGATGGCGAAGGAGCTCAGGCGAGGAAGCCGTCAGGATGATGTCGTCGACATATAGGAGCAGGTAAGCGGTCGCGGGAGCCTGGTAGTAGACAAACAGCGAGGCGTCGGAGCGAGTAGCCCGGAACCCGAGCTGCTGTAGAAAACCGGCGATCCGCCGGTACCAGGCGCGAGGGGCTTGCTTCAACCCGTACAAAGAGCGATAGAGTAGGCACACATGGTCAGGCTCAGCCGCGTCGACGAAGTCGGTCGACTGCTGACAGAAAACCTGCTCCGAGAGATGGCCATGCAAGAACGACCAGGCGAATCGTGCCTGGTTTGACAACCGGGGCGAATGTGTCGGTGAAGTCGAGTCCAACGCGCTGCCGAAACCCGTGGACCACCCACCGAGCCTTATAGCGCTCGAGAGACCCGTCAGGGCGAGTCTTATGCCGGAAGACCCACTTGCCAGAGATGACATTGGCATGGGGTGGCCTCGGGACAAGCTGCCAGGTGCGGTTGCGCACCAGCGCGTCGAACTCCTCCTGCATCGCCGCGAGCCAATGCAGATCGCGATGTGCAGCTCGAGCGGACGACAGGAGAGGTGACGGCACAGACGTCGAGGCAGCGAGGAGGTACTCATACGCAGAATAACGCGTGTTGGGCCGGTGAATACCGGCGCGAGCACGAGTGACCATGCGGGTGTCCGGGGCGGTCGGCGGGGTCGGCGGCGCAGCCGATGAGGCGAACGAGGCCGGCGACGAGGCAGGCGAAGAAGCCGTCAAGGAGCCAGGGTCAGGCGCGGGGGATGCGCTCGCTGACCGGGCTACGGACTCAACGGGAGTCGGAGGTGCCGTGGCCGCCGGCAGGGGGGCGGGTCCGACACCGCGGACCCAGAGCGAGGCCCAGGCGTGGCGGGGGAGCCGAAGCCAGGGGAGGCCCATGCGCTGCAGGGGGCCTGAAGCCGGGAGGGGCCCCAAGCGCAAGTGAGCGGCCTCCCCTAGGGGCACCGATAGGCACGGGTGACGATGGCGAGTCGGCCGGTGGCGGTACCTGGTGAAAGGGAAAAGACCTCTCGTCAAAGTAAACGTGTCGTGAAGTGAAAACTCGGTGAGAAACCGGATCATAGCAACGATAACCTTTGGTGTTTGGTGGGTATCCGAGAAAGATGCATGCCACAGAGCGAGGTGCGAGTTTATGAGGAGTAGTGGAGGCGATGCTAGGATAATAGACACCCAAAAACACAAAGATCATCATAGGAAGGTGGGCTACCAAAGAGGAGATGATGTGGTGCAAAGTTCCCACGAGCACGACTCGAACGAATGTTGATGAGGAGAGAGGCGGTGGAGAGAGCGTCCGGCCAAAACCGGGGTGGGACATTAGCGTGGAAGAGAAGAGTGCGCACACAATCATTTAGGGTGCGAAGGATCCATTCGGCGCGACCATTTTGTTGTGAGGTATACGGGCAGATGAGACGAAAAATCGTGTCGTGTGTGGCAAGGAGAGTGCGAACCCCGACGTTGTCGAACTCCTTCCCCTTGTCAGTCTGCAAGGCATGAATGGGACGCCCAAACTGTGTAGCGACATAGGAGTAAAATGTAGTGAGAACGGAGAGTGCATCGGATTTTCTCCGCAACAGGAAGGTCCACACTTAGTGCGAAAAATCATCAAGTATGACAATATAGTATAAAAAATCTGTATTACTAGCAACAGGAGATGTCCACAAATCACTATGAATCAACTCAAATGGATACGACGCCACTGATGAGGACGCGCTAAACGGAAGATGGACGTGCTTGCCGAGACGACAAGCATGACAAGTGTGATCATCGGTTTTATTACACGTGAATGAAAAAGTCCTAAGAATATGACGAAGGGTGGCTGGGTTCGGATGTCCCAGCCGAGCATGCCAAAGGTCCACCGTGGCGGAGAGAGCGACCGAAGCGGATGTGGAAGCGGCGGTGGAGTTCACCGGGTAGAGGCCGTCCGGGCTGTCACATCGATGGAGCACGGGTACGGGCGTCCTTGACAGAAAAACCCTCTTTGTCAAATTCAACAGTTATACGATTTTCACGTGTAAGAGAGCGAACGGAAACAAGATTAGTGACTAACTCAGGTGAAACTAAGACATTAGACATATGAATAGGCGTAGAGTTAGATGGAAAGGAACCATGACCCACATAAGTAATGGGAAGGGAA